ATGTTTGCTATATTAGGCCTTATTACTATTTTATTAAATTATATTTCTGTGTCATAAGACACAGAAAGGAAGTGTACCACTTCCTTAGGGCTGTATCTGGTCCATCTTTGTATTTTCCAGTGTTTGGCAAATAGGTGGATTAATAAATGTTTGTATGGTTGAATGAATACTTTCCAGCAGGCTCTATGTAGTCATATAATAAACCATGTCAGGGGAGGGGAGGCACATGTACCCGTGTATATAAACATACCTTTCAAAAAACCCTTTATTGAACTATAATTTACCTATCATAAAATTCACCAATTTTAAGGGTACAATTTAATGATCTTCAGTAAATTTTCAGAGTTGTTCAACCATTATCATAATCTAGTGTTAGAATCTATTCCATCACCACACAGAAGATCTCTCATGCCTGTTTAATTTTTAAGTTTAAAAAAAATTTTTTTTTGTTTGTAGTGCTGTTACCTAAGTACTAACCTTCCTAGGGTGTGTGACAGTCAGGTATCCTTGGTATGATTAACTTTAGAAAGAATTATCTTTAAACTTTATTTCTAGTGAGATTGAGTCCTAACAAATCTAAATCTTAACTTTTGTCCAAAGAAATTTAAAATATCCAAATTTTGTATAGTATGTTATTATATCATGTCTTAATTAAAAGTTTTTTACAGTTTTACTATGCATTGGTAAAACTGACTTGAAAACTAACAGAAATTAAGTAGCTACTAATTGCAAACTAAGTAGCCATTAATTGGAAAGTACTAAACTCTACATCCCATTAGAGCAGGGAAAGTGTTTAATTCCTAGTACTTAGCACAGTGATGAACGTATGGTATGTATTTGCTAAATAAAAAAAAAAACTGTGTTTCTTTTGATATAGCATTCTGTGTTATGTAAGATTGACTTGTTTGAAATTTTTTGACAATTTCTTTCCCATTTTACCTGAATTTACAATTTTGTAACTACATGACAAGAAAAGAAATACAGAAATTCTGAATGATCTGCCTAAACTCTCTCATCCCCTCCCCCATTTATAGCCTTTGTCCTTTAGATAACTCTTTGGCCTATAAATAAGCCTTTGGCCAGTTTGGCAGCTTTTTGGAATTCTAATTGACAGCACTGCTTACTGCATCAGTGTAAGTCATGTGAATTCACAGCTATTATATTTGCATGTAGTCTACAAAGCCTGCTCTCTAAGGTAAGAGCAGATTTTGAAAAAGAAGACTTCTTGTATATCCCTTTCACGAGACCCCAGAGAAATAAGTCCATCTTGTTTTAAGATGGGATTATGATTTGAAAATATCTAAATATCTAATGCCAACTTTAAGGCATTTGTTTTTTGCAGTAAAAAAAAAAAAAAATGGGTAAATGCTGCCAGGCTGAGGTACATAAGGTATCTTTCCACCAGTTCATTCACAGTCTTCTCTGTACTTTGGAGAGAAGAAAACTCTTTCTTGCTTGCACTATAACGAAGAGGTTGTCAAATCTCTTATTTTGCAAAGAGTTTCTGTGGGTGGTAATAGCCCTGGTCTTATGTTGTTACTGCGATGTTAAATTGGTTTGGTAAATCCCTTACTAGTTGTTCCAAATTATCAAAAACTTCAAATTTAATAAATAAGATGTACTGTAATAGTGGAAAAGTTTTTTGGAATAAGCAAAATATTGATGTAAATATGCAATAGTTGTTTTGGATTTAATAGTTTGCTCTAATGAAAAGAAGTTAAGGAGGGCTGGTTGGTTAGGTGAGCCGGTTAGAGCACAGTGTAATAACATCAAGGTCAAGGGTTCAATCCCCTTATCAGCCAGCTGCCCAAAAAAAGCAGTTAAAGCCCATTATACCTCAGTCCTGCTACTTTAGATGGGGTGGTTACTAGTAAAAACTTTTCTTAGACTAGAAACACCTCTGTTCCTCAGAAGTCCACTTTATTTATTGAACCATCTTTTAAGTAATACATTTTATAGATATTATTTTCTGTGTGCAAGACATAGGACATAGTTTCTTGTTTTTATTGTTAGATCCGTTTTTTGGTTTTGTATTTTGATACTATGCAAAGCCCATTATTTTGGTAATAGTACTTTTGCTTTAGTGTGAACGATAGGCTCCCAATTGGCTTAAACTCTTTGACTTCGGATGTGTGGGAAACAATATGGCTTAGTAGTTCAGTGGCTTTGTATGAGACTGTCTGGGTTCTAATCCTCACTGGCGTTGGGCAAGTAATTTAACTTCTCTAAGCCTCAGTTTCCTTATTTGTAAAAAGAAATAAGAATTCTTATTTCTTAAGGCTATATATAATTAAATGAGGTAGTCGATGTTAATACTCACATTGTAGTGCTTAGCTAATTATTTTCATTCATTTTGCAGCCTATTTATTAGCATTTTTAAATTGAGTCTTGGTATTTTTAAAATCCATATGTGTACCAAAACTCAGACAATCACCAGAGCTTCACTTATGCAAAGATAGAATCAATTGGTCTCGTCATCTTGTAGTAAATAAAGATTTCTACACATTTAAGATTAGCCAGGACATTTTGAGAAGAAGTAGTAGTTATTCCTTATATAGAGAGCTTATATTCTAGTGGCAGGGGATACCAATAAGCAAATAAACTTATATAGTATATTAGAATGTGATAAGTGATATGGAGAAAAATAAGGCAGGCAGGGAAGAGATAGAGAGTACCCAGAGGGAGAGTTGGTAGATGGTCAGGAAGGCGAAGACCTCACCATAGAGGTGAGGAACTGAGCCCTGTAGATACTGGAAGGAAGAGCATTCCAGCCTGAGGAAATAGTAGTAGTAATAGTAAGCTAACGCATATACTGCTGTATGCCAGGAATTGTTTAAGTGCTTATATTAACTTATTTAATCCTTACAGTAATCCTCTGAAGTAGGTATTTTTACTATCCCCATTTTGTAGATAAGGAAACAGGTACAGAGAGCTAGTAAGTAGTATGGCTAAAAAGCTGAACCCAAAATTTGGCTCTGGAGTCCATCTTCTTAGGAGTTGCTGTATACTACATAAGTTAAGGCTTTGAGGCAAGAGAATTTCCAGTGTGATAGAGAAATATAGCAGGGTTGGTGTGGGTACAGCAGAATGAATGGAGTGGAGAGAATGGTAGGAGCTAAGGTGTAAGTAATGGTAATTGGGGAGGGGTGGCAGTGGGAAGATTTGACTGGACTAAAGCCATTGTAAAGACTGAGATTTTACTCTAGAGTGGAGAGCCAATGGTTTTGTACAGTGCAGTGAAATGATCTTACTTTTTAGAACGTGATTCTTTGCTGAGTCCTTGGGCCCTTCCACTGAGTCTATTGGTAGAATTCAGGAGGGCCTGGGAACTTCAAGAGATCCTTTTTATTTTCACTAACTTCTAATTGAAACAGTATTTCCTTCACTTAATAATGTAGCTAGTAAACCACAGTAGTATTAAAGTTACCTTTGACTTTGTCACTGCCAGAGAATATTGTTGTTGTAGATATCTGGAAATACAATTTACGGTCATCCTTACTTTGAAATTCTAGTAGTTCTTAGACCCACTGACAGATCTCATTTAATGTGATTATAAAGAAGCACATTTATTACAACTTGTTTTTTCATATTTATATATTTTTGGTAACTATATATTGATTGATACAATTGGTTTCTTTTGTAATTATGTATGTCTTTTGTGTATTTAAAAACACTGAGAAGGTGTCTTGATTTCACCAGGCTACCAAAGGAGCCCGTGGCACACAAAAATTAAGATTCCCTGTGAGGATTACTCTCATTGCTGTGAGAGAGGAAGGTGGAGGGCAAGAACAGGAGGGGTATGAGCTAGGAGGCTTTTACAGTAATCTAGGTGAGAGGTAATGGTGAATTGGACCAGAGTAGTGCCCAAGGAGGTACTGATGTGTAGTCGGATTTGGGGTATGTTTGAAGATTGAAGCAAAAGATGTGCTAACAGACTAAATGTGTAATGTGAGAAAAAGAATCAAGGGTAGCTCTAAGGTTTTTAGTCTGTGCAACTGGAAGGATGGAATTGCCATTTGCTGAGATGGAGGCGGAGTATGTTTTTTAAAGATCAGAAGCTCAGTTTTGGATACAAGTTTAAGATATTTATTCAACATCTACCTATTACTTTGTGACTTGCTATTTACATTTAATATGTCTTGGCATATGCAGTCATAGAAAGGAAGAGGTGAACCTAAACGTAGAAACAGCTTGAACTTGTTTCTGAACTATGAATGTTTTATAGTGAGCATGTATCCACGTACTTGGTGACTTAAAAAATGAAAAAAAACTTGTTCAAAAATAAGAGAACGGTACAGTATGTAATAGAATAGTAATGTGATCATTAGAAAGAATGAAATAGACCTATATATGCCTCCATGGAAGATCTCTAAGATCTATATAGAAAGTAAACCAAATAGGCTGGTTGGTTAGTTAAGTGGTTAGAGCATGATGCTGATAAAACCAAGGTCCATAGTTTGATCCCTGTACCAGCCAGCTGCCAAAAAACCAAAATAAACCAAAATAAGATGAACAACAGAATAGATAATGTGTCAGAATCATAGTAAATCTGTTTACTTTTTGAGAATGAGATTGTGGGTGGGCAAGAAAGGCTCCCCTCCTCCCCACCCCTTTTTTTAAGCTGTTGAATTTATTAACCTTGTATATGTATTACTTTTTAAAATGTCATTGGTTCATTGGGGGTAAGATTATGGGCTCTTTTATTCTTACTACTTCTGTATTTTTATAAACTTTATGTTACAGTTTTCTGAAGTTGGATATATCCAATATTATAGGTCTACTAATAATTTCAAAGAGATTTTTAATATTTTAGAATATGAATATGAAATGAAGATAGAAAATCATCTGTGTAGTATAATATGATTTTTATTATGAGTAAAATATGACTTTAAATACATATTTTACTAGAAGAAAAAATTAGAGGTGTACATTAAAATGTTAATAGTGGTTTTCTCTAGGTGATGGAATTTGAAGTGATTTTTAAAATATTTTTCTTCAATTTTTATAGACTATGAGAAGACAACGAAATGAAGTTGTAGTTGAATTAAGGAAGGTGAGTCTGATTAATATTGGGTACTTCCAGGCATAATTCTAACAACATTACAGCATATATACAAGATATCAAATGTAGATCATATATTTATGTGGAATGTATAACCTGTTGTATAAATTTTATTTACTGAATATACTTAAGCTTTTTTAAATCTCAAGTGCTTTAGCACTTGTTTTCCTTTTGAAGGAAAGATTTTTACTAAATTTGACAAGCTATTAAAGTTGGCAAGATGTGACTTGTTCACAATCCAAAAATAACTTATCAGATGATTTTTTTAATGATTTATATAAAGTGTAAATCATAGAGATACAGTTAAACTAAATAGTTCTGCTATTAATAGTTAGTAGTTATGCCCTGAAAAGAACTTGTTACTTATTTATTGATTTCATCAACTTTTTAAGTATTAAAGTAGGTTATAGTTGAGAATATATTCATAAATTTGTCCCAAACAAATTAAGTGAAATTCAAAGGGTCCTTGGTTTTTGTAAGGCATTGTGGATTTTTTGTCTAATTTTGAATTGTCCACCTTTTGCTTTGACTTTGCTTTTAGGTGATAAAGAGAAGCTCCCAGGTGATGTGTAAAATGGTTTAGTACTTTAAAATAAATACTTATGTTTGGTTCTGGCTTAAACTGTACACTGTCTTCTTTAGTCAAACATTTTGTTTTGTTTGTTTTTACATAATTCACGGTTCATTAAAAATGTAATATTTGGGGTTTGGGACTCAAATTAGTGTTGCTTAAGTGTTTAATTCACAATTTGGTTTAATTTTGTGCATTTGAGTTTTACTTTTAAAAGGCACTTCATATTTCAGTTTAGGCACGGGATTGCCTAGCCTTGTATGAAAGTATTTAGCTTTTTTTCTTCTTAACTGAAGTTCCTTGTTTGATTAATTTTTTTAGAATAAAAGAGATGAACATCTTTTAAAGAGAAGGAATGTACCACATGAAGATATCTGCGAAGACTCTGATATAGATGGTGATTATAGAGTGGTAAGTTATTGTTATTCTGGTAACTTAAAACTCCTAGTGAAAGATTTCACATAAATATAGAATTTTAAGGTGACTTTTTAACTTAGTTTTCTCTTTATTTCCCAGCAAAATACCTCTCTAGAAGCTATTGTTCAAGTAAGTTGGGATTTTTTTTTTCCTCTCTTCATTTATATTTCTTGGATTCAACAACTAATTTATTGTGTGTGTACATCATAAATTGTTTTATTTTTTTATAGAATGCTTCAAGTGATAACCAAGGAATTCAATTAAGTGCAGTTCAAGCTGCTAGGTAAGTTAAATTTTGAGGACATATTTAAATTTTATCTTACACAGGGGTTCTGTTTTGGGTTTTTACTATATATATAGTCCTGTCAATCAAATTTTACTTTGATGACAAATAATAGAGAACAGCTGTAGACCAACTGATTTTATTTAAAAAATTGTTCCCTGATTTAGAGTATTAAAGTTAGTGGCAATTCTTAAAACTCTTGTGAGTTTAAATACACTGAACTGTGTACTTTAAGATTTTGGGGGCTGAAAGTGTATACTTGAAATATACTAAAGTTTTAATGTACATCATACATACAGATGCTAGGGAAAAGTTGATTTGACAGATTAGTGCCATGCAGTAATAGAAAAACATTATTTGTAAAGCTTTACCTTTTGCTAATTTATAGGTTTAATTTATAAACAGTCAGATTCTTAAGCTCCTTACCAGTAGCTAATTCTGCTCACAATCCTGATATTGATCAAACAATAAATTAGAAGTTACAAGGTTACTATACTAGCTTATGGACAAGTAGATTTTGAGATTTAGGGCTGCATATACTCCCAGTGTCTTCCCAGGTAGGAAGTACCAGCTTGTTTTGCACATTTCTGTTGTGAAAACTATGCTCTCACATTTTTAAGGGAAGAGCCAGAAAAACTAATTACTGAGACTTTTGTATTAACAAACAGGTTGGGGAAGACATGGTTATATCATAATACAGTATAGTGGTTTCTTTGTATATGAATAACACCCTATGTTGTGATTATCAGTGGGAAAGAGACACTTAAGCAAAAAATTGAGTTATAGAATTTCAAAGTGGAAGAAGGTTTCACAGGTCCATATGATACCTAATTTAGTACATGAATCCCTTCTATGTTTGTTAGACATTTCGTACTTTGGTGTATTCACATTAAATAGCCCAGAACAGATAGGTAAATCATAGAATTAGTGTTGTGTACCACAGGAAAAAGAACTTCTTAGAGAGGACTTTGTTAATGTAGACAGAAAACCATAGAACTATTCACATCTCAAAATAGCAAATTAATGTTTATAAGAAGAATGATTAAGAAATTGGTTATGCATACCATTGTCAGAGTTTATTATTTGGTAGTTTTGGACCAGTTCTTCTCAACATGAGCTCTGCAAGAAAATTAAACCCCAGTGCTCAAAGTATGGTGTGTGGCTTCTCTGGGAGATGCAACTTCACGGGTATGCAAGAGCAAACTGATTTTCATGATATTAAAATGTTACTGGCCTTTTTTCACTGTGTTAACCTTTACATTGATGTTACAAAAGCAACTATGGGCAAAACTGCTAGTACTTTAGCACAAGTGGCACCAAATTGATTTCATATTATATTTTGTAGATATTGTATTCTTCACCATTATGCACTCAAAGAATATAAAGTCATTTCTCTTTAAAAATGTCCTCAATGAAGCAGTAAAAAAACATATTAAATCTTGACCCTGATCTCATGGAACCTTGGCTGAGAAAGACTGTGTTAAGACACTATTTTATAAGTTTAAAAAAAATTTTTTTATTTCCACTTATGCTAAGCACTGTGCCATGTGTTATGGAAAACAGTGAAAATAAATAGCATATGATATAATTCTGTTTTTATTTTTTTGGTGGCTGGTCGATATGGGAATCTGAACCCTTGACCTTGGCATTACCAACATCACGCTTTCACCAAGTGAGCTAACCAGCCAGCCCAAAGGTTGGCTTTTTTATTTCTTCCCTCTTGGTGGCTGTCTAGTGCAGTAATTATTTCTCTTTTAGAATTTTAAAGTCCAGGGAGCGGGGGGGGGG